ACGAGGGGCGTCGCTGGGCCAGGCCAGCATTTACTGCCACATCCATAATTGCCCAGAGGGCAGTTAAGAGAAAACCACATTGGCTGTGGGTCTGGAGTCACGTATAGGCCCAGACCAGGTAAGGATGGCAGTTTCCTTCCCTAAAGGACATGAGCGAACCAGATGGATTCACGATCATCATTAGACTCTTCATTCCAGATTCTTTTGAGTTCAAACCCCACCGTCTGCTGCGGCGGGATTCAAACCCAGGTCCCCAGAATGTTATCTAGGTGTCTCCGGATTAACAGTCCAGCGATAATACCACTAGACCATTGCCTCCCCATTAACCCTATCAATACCCCTCCATTCCCAGCAACATCCTGGTAAATCTCTTCTGAACCCCGTTCAACTTTTCTCGAACAATATTTGATATTTTGGCCCTGGTCTGCTTTCAGCATCAGAGAACTCCCTGACCCTCGTTGACCTGATCCTGTCCAGTCTATTATTTTACAGGCCTCTGCAAGAATCAACCCACTCCCAAGCCCGGCTATCGTTCTTCCAAATGTAACAGTAAATACAGTCAAATCCTGCTTCACGTGTGCGGTCTCTGCATCTGCATTCCGTCGCTAACCCATCGCTCGCTTCCTGGCGACGCTGGGAGACGATCTTGTGACTATACCTTGGCCAGCCTCTCGATGATGTCAGGGTACTTGGAAGTATTGTTTTCCTGATTACGGCTGTAGATGTGAATGTCTCCCGTTTCCAGGATGTGGATCTGAGAAAGACAGATGGCAGAACTGACAGCATGCACGCCGATATTGCCCTCCCCGCCCACAGGTCAGGGTGGGGGCAGGAGGTGCTGATGATTTCAGTTTAAAGCTGCGACCACTCCCTACCAACGCCGATTGGAGACAAGGCTGAGTGATCTGGTCACCATGGTGTGTGTTGGAGGGAGACAGGGGAAGTTGAGACAGAGACAGAGAAAAAGAGAGACACGGACAGAGAGAGGGGGAGAGAGAGAGAGACAGACAGACAGAGACAGAAGCAAACATAGAGAGAGACACAGAGGCGGGGGGGAGAGAAAGAGACACACACAGAGTGAGAGAGGTGGGGTAGAGAGGGTGAGAGAGAGGGAGGGAGAGAGAGAGAGAGAGACAGCGGGTGGGGTGATAGACAGAGAGGGGGAGAGAAACAGACTGAGAGAAAAAAGAGTGAGAGAGAGAGAAACAGTGAGGCAGAGAAAAACAGTGAGGCAGAGAAAAACAGAGTGAGAGAATTTGAGACAGTGCGAGGGAGAGAAACAGGGTGAGAGATAGAGAGAGAAAGAAACAGAACGAGAGACAGTGAGAAAGAGAGTGAGAGAGAGAGAAACAGAGAGAGAGAAACTGAGAGAAACAGTGAGACAGAGAGAAACAGAGTGAGAGAAAAGAAACAGAGTGAGAGAGAGAGAGAAACAGAGTGAGAGACAGACAGAGAGAGACGGAGGCAAGAGTGAGAGACAGCGCCAGAGAATGAGACAGAGAGAGACAGAGAAACAGAGGCAGGACTCCGAGCTGCGGATTCGGTGCACAGGGGGTCAGGCGTGTCGTGTGTGACCAGGCCCGGTTCCTACCTGCGCTCTCTCCCCGTCGTATTTGTACTCGCAGGTGAAGGCAGCTTCATCGAACCTCTTCATCACCTCCCCGATACCTTTCGTTGGGTGTGCCAGCATTGGTTTCAGAGGGATCCCTGCAGCACAACACTGGCCATTAAACCCCGCACTGTGATCACCGTAGACCCACTCACTGGGAATTAAACGCCGCACTGTGATCATTGTATACCCACTCATTGGTCATTAAACCCCGCACTGGGATCACTGTAGACCCACTCACTGGGAATTAAACCCTGTGCACTGGGATCACTGTAGACCCACTCACTGGCCATTAAACCCCACACTGGGATCACTGTAGACCCACTCACTGGGAATTAAATCCCACGCACTGGGATCACTGTAGACCCACACACTGGGAATTAAACCCTGTGCACTGGGATCACTGTAGACCCAC